CACAAGTGCCACACATTTATGGGAACTTCTGCAACAGACATGGGAAGAACTTTCTGAAGAATATTTGATCTCTATTGTAGAAAGAATGGCTCGTGTGTTTGCCACACATTTATGGGAACTTCTGCAACAGACATGGGAAGAACTTTCTGAAGAATATTTGATCTCTATTGTAGAAAGAATGCCTCGTGTGTGTTCAGCTGTTATATCTGCCAAAGGTGGCTACTTTGATGAGTCAACAGTTTAGAATACATTTTGGTCTATAAATTGATTCCATAATTTCTTTTTTGACTCCAATTGCTTATTTGTACTATGCTTTCACGTCTGAGTGCAATGAGGGCAGTGGTGGCCTAGGGTTAAGGGGCAGTGGTGGCCTAGTGGTAAAGGAAGCGGACTTCGGTCCGGAAGGTGGTGGTTCAAATCCACCAACTGCCAGGTTACCACTGAGATGTACTGAGCATGGCATCGTCCTCAAGCACTGCTCCCCGGGCGCTGACCACGGCTGCCCACTGTTCACTTTGGTGATGGGTTAAATGCAGAGGTTAAATTTCGTTGTGCATGGTGTGCTGTGCTGTGCTGTGTCACAATGACAAATAAAGATAAGTTTAAAAGTTTAAGTTTAAATGAGACATTAAACGGTATAATTTTCAGTAAAAACACTGGAAGAATTGGGGTGTTCTAAAACTTTTGACCGGTAGTGTATATACATATATACAGGATATAGACATATAATATCAAATCAAACATATACGACAATCTATATATATATACATATATATACATATATACATACCAATATAAACACAATGCACATTACATACATTATATATACATATATTTACACACACAAATATATACATGCATATACATAAACATATATTTATAATAGTAAATGGAATTTAAGATTGTGTTTATTGTTGTGTCGTACGTACTCCCTCACCCACCGGTTCATTCGGATATTTAACCGCTAATAATTAACGCGATAATGTCGGACGTTAACTCGCAATTAATGCTAACTAATGACGGCTAAAACCAGCGGCCAATCAGTTTTCACCGATGGTCGTAAACGAAACTAAAGCCTGTTTCAGTTCAGTTCTGCATAAGCAGATTGAGTTGCAGTAATGTAACGTAGCCGGGCCGTTTGGGGTCGGAGCTGACGTAGGGAATCCGACTCCGCCGCCCGAGGGCCTGCTGCTTTGTGTCGTTGTGTTGTCGAACGCAGAACGTTAAATAAGTAAACGGATTGAATCACGGATCGGAGTGGAGGAGGAGGAGCTCCTCGGTTTGAACACCAGATACGTTGGCTCAACCTGGGGCTCCGATGACCAAGTTTTGACGGTTTAAACGAGAGATTTTTTTTAAGGTCGGTGTCAGAGGTCGGATGTCAATCTGCTACGCTAATATTTTCTATAATTTCAATTTTTCCCCCCTGTACTATAAGTCGCACGCACTTTTTTCATCCTTTGACTGGTTTTGCGACATATATTAAAATAATTTTAATTCACATGTTTATTTTCACTACCACTAGAGGGCACTCTAGGCTTGTGTAGCAGAATCTGCTTCTCCTGCAAGTCGCGATTTTTTCATTCTTTGGCTGGTGCGACTTATACTCCAGAGCGCACAACATTCGTCCCACGATGGGTTAATTAACAGAGTGACGCAGGCTGCCACAGGAGGCGCCGCTAGGGCTATGTAGCTCCTTTGGGAATCGAACCCACTTCTCTCTGCGTGCGAAACATTTCCATAATAACAATTTTTATTATTATATTTTATTTATTTATAAAGTGAATTAAAATAATGTATTTTATTTAAATGTATTTATAAATATTAATATTTTTATATAAATATATTTTTTAATTTTTTTATAATTTATTATATTTTAAATACAAAATAAAATTAAAATCTTCTATTAGTAGTAGTTTTATATTAGGTCCATATATTATATATGGCTATATATTCCAGTGTATATTATATATATCTATATATTCCGGTGTATATTTTCCATCCATCC